AATAAAGTGACTGCCGACATTTGCGGCGCTGTTGACCAGTGTCTCGTTTGAGGAGAACAGGTGCCAGACGTAGCCGGCTTGCATGATGGTCACGATGATCCAGTAGATGCCTGTGACGATGGAGTTGAGGGAGAAGGGGGTCCTCATGCGGCCGTTCTGGCCCCAGATGGTATGGCAATCATGGCCATGTTTGCAGTCATTGGGGGCATTGAAGGTGTAGTAGAGGACCGTGATTGCGAGGAGGAGCCATGAGGCGATGGTCAAGACCTTGTAAGCGGTAAGAGACTTTTTGCTGTGGTTCTCGCGTTTGGCGAATGGGTTGTCTGGGATTATGATATCAGCACGATTGCAGCTCTTGAGTGTCGCTTCTTTCTCACATTCTTGCACTGCCATCGTTGGGAAGGAGACTGTCTCGTCAGATAGTACTGTGAAGAAGTCGCTGAGGGACTGTTGCAGCTGACCAGCTTTTCTGTCTTCTGTACTCTGGTTCTAGATGAAAATACGTCAATGGTGTGATGGTGATGCCAGAGTCACATACTACAGGAGCAAATTGGCTGTGCACATGCAACTCGGATCCGAAAAGGAGGAAATTGCGATTGGTGCTACGAGGAACAAAAGAGATGCAGTGGTGCAGCCAGAATGAAGTGTCTACGTCAGAGCTCGTTTGTGACAGCTGCAGAGCATGGCATGGGCTATCGTGCCGGCTACAGCCTGCCCAATGGTCGTGTAGCACGGAAAATGCATCTCGATCACTTTTTAGATGCTTTGGACTTGGTGCTTTTATGCCGTGTGACCGCAGGGAGTCTCCCCTGAAGGCCAAGAATGCCAAGAATGACGTAAGCAGCATTCCTGTGGGAGACAGCGATGCAGTGATGAAGAATGAATAGTATGATGGGCGTCCCCCGAGCTCTGGTGGATACGTTACTCAAGGGGAGGTCCTCATCTCAAGATCAACACGAAATGCAGGACTACATAATAGCATCTTGGAGCGAGCATAGAGCATAGAACACAGAGCACAGAGTAGTGAGCTTGGCCCATCAGCCTTCAAGATGACACCGCCCTGGGCCCGGAACAAGATTGTGTAGTGCCCCGGGCTCATGCAGAGTGTCACATAGTTCAATGTGACCTGGCTTTGACCATAGCTGTTTTCACTTTCTAGGGCAGAGGGCAGAGGACGGTAGGAAAAGCCCCCAAAGCGAACTCTGCTGCTACGAATGCTTATTGGCTCTGTGCTGAACGGGACATGGGGTCTGGTAGCGGTACTGCTGGAAAAAGGATATGATCATTCTCAGCATTATTGCAGAATATAACCCCTACGCCTGCTGACTCTCTACGTGTGGTTCGTAAGGCTTCTCTAGTGTCACCGAGACTAGATGTTGGTGTGAAGCACTGACGACAGCTCACTGACTAAAGGTTTCGGTGGTGCATTGATCCAAGACGTCATCTGATATTGCTGATTACCTGCCGCTGTGAGATCCAGGTTATATCTTTGATCCCCTTTGAAATTGAACAGGAAGTTCATGGGAAAGAGAGGGTTGAAGGGCGTAGCGTCCTGGATGGCATGGATATCCTCTTTGAAAAGTCTGATGCCCAACGCCTCTGGCATGGCTTTGACGTGCTCGACGGTCTGCACGCCGCCGATAGGAGAGATGTAGGTTGATGGTTGAAAGAGGTATGCGAGGGTCTATTTATATGTTGTCGATCAGCAACTGCGAGCAAATCCTTAGAGAGGGTTAAATGTCGACCCATAACTTACTGCAGCCTGCAGTGTTGTGCTTTTGCTTTTAGCGACCCGTCCCAACACTTCACAGACTTAAGATCATTCTAATCTGCAGTATTGCGTTTGCGGGCTCCGGGATCTTGCTCTTGCTGCTTTCTCTGCTCAGACAATATTAATTGTCCTCCACCCAGTGCTGCCCAAGGTACGATTGCCATACCTTGGTCTTCACACATTGGGATCAGTTCAGCTTCCATGTCCCTAAATGCGGCGTGCCACCTTCACTGATAGACAGAGAAAGGTGTCATTCCGTTTCCGCGGGTAACTATGGTGGGAGGTCAACCAAAGTTGCCCTGTTATCGATAGTGAGGGCAGAGGTTGCCTCTATTGCTTGCTTACATTCATTTGCTTTGACAACCACCCAAGCAGGAGCATTAGATATGCCAAGGTACAAGACTTATCTAGCCATAATGTACGCCTGCAAATGAGTCATCACCTCTTCCACCGACGTTGCAAAACCACACCTACCTTCGACATCCTCAGCCCATGATCTGCCTTAACCCCATTGTTGCTCAACCCATGTTGTGTAATGGGTGAGTCAAAGCATTTCGGCTCGACTTACTACGTAGTTACTACGGGTGGGGCCTGAAGTAATGTTAGCTCAACGCTAGTATCTTTAATTGTAAACCCTTTCTGTACAGAACAGCTATGCTCAAAGAAGTAGATGTACGGAGTAATGGTCTAACTCATCGGAAATGGATGCACACAGAAACAAGCTTTGAAGTAACGAATAATAGCATTAGGTTGCCGTATTAAGAACTGGCTGCTCTTAGCACCGGACTAACATTACTTCAGGCCTCCCAGGTACTACCTCCTACGTAGTAGTACTGGTAGCGTGCAGATAACGGAAAATCCTCGGCACGGCTGTAGCTAGTCAAAACGTATTCATTTTTCAGGAAATTTTATCAACAGTTGATGTAAAAAGCACAACGATGGCAAGTTAAGCAGCTCGATTCGCTTAACTCGAAAACATTGTCATGATTATTAAAATCAATTCTATCTGCATCGGACCATCTATCTTAGCACCCTTGACGATGCTCAAGACAAAGTCACCCGGAAGACCAAAGCCTGGCTATCCAAGTTAAAGCCCGACTCGTCCGAATACGGCAACTGCCCGAATTTCACGTAGCCATTCTGCGTGATGAAATCATTGTCACTAAACGCAAACAGGAAGTACTCCTCCCCTTTATTCCCATTGACCCTATCGTTCCCTCCCCTTCCGTTTGGCTCAACCGGCACAAGCCCAAGGGCTTCCCATTTCTCGTTCAGTAGGCCCTCGTCCTGTGCACCGCCGTTGTGGAGCCCGAACTTGGCAAGCTCGGAGTTGACGTTGAAGTCGAGGAAGGTGCAGTACTCGGCCGCCGTGATATCAGCGTCGAGGGTGCCCTCGTCATCAGCGATGGAGCCGGTCGGGCTGTCGTCGTTTTCTGGGCTCTTGATGTTGGTTGCACGGCTGATATCGAAGACATCCGCACGACGATATAGCGATTCGGCGTCATCCTGACCACGACCTCTTCCTGAGTCTCGGGCCAGGACGAAGAATTGATCTTTGGCGAGTGCGTATATCTCGGATTGAGCGGCCACGGTCTCGCCGCCGTTGAAGACCGGAAGGGTGACGACGTATTCTGCCTGGTAAACAGCATTTCCGCCGCTGATCCTGTACTCTAAGAGGCGTGCCTGTTTCCTTTCTGGATTTCCTGTCCCTCCGTCCTGGGCTAGTGCTGATTGGGTCAGAGCGTAGAGTTTCTGCCCGTTCTCCGAGATGGTCAAGCCTTCAAAACCTTGGTTGTTGGCTCTTCCCGAATCGACATCTTCAGGAACAACCTCATCATCCGGGTCATAGATTGGCGGGTCATCCGATGCAAAGCTGAGGCTTCCATTTCGGCGAGGAAGATAAGCATTGGGTGGTTGGATTGCTTGCAACATTCTCCCTTCAGGGGAGAAGCGATAGATGTATGGACCATATTCATCACTCACCCAGAACGACTGATCTCTGGCGACTACGAGGCCTTCACTGTCGAGACTGATGCGACGATCGCCCGGGCCTTCTCCTCCGAAACCGTCACCTTCATAAGTCGCGGAAGGAAGCGTGGGAAAGCCGGGATATGACAGATAGGGAGGTTGCGTGTCAGCTCGGAGTCCTGTTGTTGGTTTGCCGTCTGGACCGGTCAGGAGGATGGTATCGAGGTACGTGAACTTCAGGTTTGGTGCCGAAGAGTTGCTTGCATTATTTGTCTCGGTACGGATTGAAAGGCTGATGGCGAACTTGTGGATACGGTTCTGGTAGTTCAGCGTTCCTTGTGTGTTCCTACGGCATTGTCAATAACATTCTCTCAAGACCTTCTTGGGCAATTGTCACCATCCGCGATCTGGCAGCACCCAGATCAGCCCCTCATAAGTGCCGTTGCGCGATTTCGTCCATGATGAAGCATCGAAGGCAACTGCGCTCGGACCACCCAGAGTATCTCCGGTCTTGTCTCGGAAATCTGATGCAACGAAACCGTAGCCAACAAGCTCGTTGTAGGTATAGGTGCGCCCATTGCAAGTAGTCTGATTGACGATTGTTGGGCTCTCATTTTGGTACGCCTGACTGGGCAAGCAGGAAACGAGTGGTATAATGCATGAAGCACGGAGAAAGAAGGATAATTTCATCTTGTTACGATATTGCGTAGAGATGAAGTAGCAGAAAAATCTTGGAGAAGAAGCTCGAGACTTCAAAATCCAACGATGGAAGTCGGTCCATCTCAAGAAAGACAAGAAAGAACATCAAGTTGGGATTGCATTGCATCATGGTTCCTGACTATTGAAAGGCCAAGAAGAGAAGAGTTCAAGAGGCTGACAACGTGCTCCCACGTGGGATTGATGTAGAAAGTCATTCGTGCAGAATCAAAGCTTTCGATCAACTCCAGGCTAGCGAAGATGTTGTGTGGCTTTTTTCCCAAATCAATCTGGTAGCAGTAGCAGATCTTGGAGAAGCAAGTCTTTTCACAATGCTAGTTAGTTAGTCCAAAAAGGGTGGATGCACTTCATCCTCCAAGCCTACGTAATAAGCGGCTGTTATCCCCTGCCATTGTCCAGGTGGTGAGGGGTTGAACTTTGGGTACAGCGATCGACAGGGCCCCGAGGCCCCGAGGCCCCGAGGCCCAACTGAGACGCCTGCAGAACCCAGGTACCCGCATACTACTAGTAGTACTACGAAGGTGGTACGGAGGACAGCACCGCGTAACTTTGCAGAAAGCGTTATTACAACGCACGCGAAGAAGGACCTGATCCTGCAAGTGTTGAAAGTAGAGCCTTCTACGCAGGCGTAGAATGGTAGGACAGGCAGATTTTACAGAGACATGAATCTGGAGCCATCAGTATTGATACGTCAGTACTTGGTTCTTGTTGTTGGCATGAGGTGGACAATTTCCATCAGCCAATGGCAATAGATTCTTCTGATGCATCCGTCGCTCCCGAGTACCAGATTGCTGACCCATGATTCACTTATCAACCAAGAGTTCAACGAATATTCCGTCCATACTGTCCTCTGACGGAGAAGGAGGACGGGGAGGACGGGGAGGACGAGCAGCGAAATCAATCAATGAGCACGCCACTCAAACGGGCTCTCAGCAAAGACGAGAGACGCGTCAGCCCGCCTCCTACTAGAAGAAAGACCACACAAGATGAGGCATCAGAATCATACCAGATACCTCCTTCGCAACAAGGATATCTACGTATCTTTAGCTGGAACGTCAACGGCATAGGTCCTTTCCTACAACGCTCAATATCATTCTCCAAGACCACCCCTTTCAGGTCTCCACTACGTGACTTTCTACTCCGCCACCACTGGCCTCATATCCTCTGCCTGCAAGAAGTCAAGATCAACCCCAAGGACACCGCGACTCAACGAGCCCTCCAACATGCTGCTAACCTCGATTCATCCGTGCCCAGCAACAACACATCCCCTGCCTCTACAACCCCTACGTACACCATCCACTACTCCCTCCCGCGCGACAAATACAACGCCACCGGCTTCGGCGGCAAAGTCCACGGCGTGGCAACCTTGATCCGGGATGACCTGGCCCAAAGCCTGGGCATCCCCTCCCTGACCACCAGCACACGCCGCGTAGACTGGGACCTCGAGGGCCGTGTGCTCATCACCACCCTTGCCTTTCCCCTTTCCCTCTCCTCAACCCCACCCACCTCAAATCCTATCAACACCACCACCAGCAAGACCCATCTCCACCTCATCCACGCCTACTGGCCCAACGGCACCACCCTCCCCTACCGTCGGGGCCCGCCATCAGTTATCCCGAGATGAGAAGCACGGTTTATTCGTGCTCCATCCAGAAGAGGAGGATACCCACGCAGACGCTACCGCTCCCCGCTCACCGGCCAACCCCTCGGAACGCGTCACGACCACAAACTCCGCTTCCACGAGCACATGCTCTCCGAAGCCCTCAGCCTCCAAGACCCCAAGTCATCCCACCCCCAACCCCCAACTCACGTCCTCCTGATCGGCGACATGAACATCGCGCCCCAGCGCATGGACGGCCACCCGCACCTCCGCACCTCGCCGCACCAACACGTGCTCAACCGCGCCGACTTCAACGAGAAATTTCTCCACCGCGAAAACGCGGCCGGGTTCCAGGGGTTGGACGTGTGGAGACTGCTCCGAGGCGGCGAGAGGCGGTACACGTACCATCCGCGAGGAGCAGAGTGGGGGAGGAGTTGCGATCGCGTGGACCTGGCCGTTGCGGGACGGAACCTGGTGGGACACGAGGACAGGGCGAGCAAGAGGGAGAACTGGGGGGTGAAAGCGGCACAAGACGGAAGAGGGAGAGAAACTGTTGGCCGGCTAGGGAAAGGCGCGATCGCGGGGATGGATATCTATGATAACGAGGTGGATCGCGGTCATAGTGACCACGTCCCGCTCAGCGTGACTCTAGATGTGAATGATTTATAGCTGCGAGACCTAGTAATAGTTCCCCGTCCATCTCCTGTGTCATCTTGAGTTGTATCTATACCGAAAAGTGAAGGGAGGGAAAGACACTACTCTATTCTGGGCATGAGCTCGGGAAGAGTACGACACGAACGTTATTGTTCTCCTCTGAAACAGCCAGTTCGTAATTCTCATTTCAGGCCCCCAAGATCGGGCATTCCTTCCATCGCCCATGTTTTTTAGATGCAAAATCAGCTCTTGACTCATCCATCTTGACTGATCCCCATCCTCAACCCATCGTCTCGTATTTGGGTCATCACCCCCCGCCCACCGGACTCTCGCCCACCCCTCCAAACCCAATCCTCCACAGCCTCTCACCACCCAGCAACCAAGCCTCTCCATCCCCACCAAATGCCACCCTACTGACCCCTGCCATCTTATCACCCCGGTCCCGTTTCCTATCCGACGGCGACGAATGCTCCTCTTCTTCCGGCACCAGGATCTTACCAACCATACTCCCCAGCACTCCACTAAAGATCTCAACTCCCTCTTCCGTGCCAAGCCACACATTCCCCTGAACTGGATCCGTCGAGATACCTCCACTAGGCACTTTGGAGGGGGAATAGGCAAACAGGCGCTTGTTGATTAAGAATGCACCAAGTCTCCCTTCCTCACCTCCTCCATTGGCAACGGACATGGCGGCTAACGAGGAAGCGGTCAATGGCGGCAACAGCACCGGCGCCTGGACCGGCTGATGTTGCTGGATCGGCTGAAGCTGCTGAGGTTGCAACATCGTCGTTGATAGGGAGGGCGTGGTGTTGAACGATGATTTCAGATTCATCCCAAAACTGCTTCCCATTGATTTGAGTTGACGGGACTGGTTCTGCGCCATGTCGAGGACTCGGCGGGCTCGGTCGCGTGAATTGGAGCGGCTTAGACCGGGGTGGGAAACCGAACTGCCATTGGTTGTGGTAGGAGAGGTGGAGGAGGCGAGGCGTGCGGCTGCTGCCAGGGGCCGTGACGAGGCTGTCGGTGAGCTTCGGTAGGGATTATGTACGGAGTCGTTGGATTCGGTGGATGACGCGGAGGAGGTCTTTTGGTGGCCGTTTGGTGTGGTCGAGCGGGGGGCGGAAGTCGTGCTTATGGGGTGGGCTAGAGGTCGGGGATAGTTGGCGGCGGGGGTGGTGTATATGATATCAAAGACGTGGATCGTAGTCCCGCCATATTTGTCTCCCAACTCGGATACGTATAGAACTGAGTAGTCGGGAGAGAATGCAAGACCGCCTGGTCTCGATAGCCCATCAGCAACGACACGGCAGTCACCTGACAATGGGTCAAATCGGTATATGTGGCCTGTAGGTAATTGTGGTTTGGGTCTGTAACCACGCTCATAGCCGTATGCAGGGTCAGTAAAGTATAAGCAGTTGTCTATCATATTTGTGGCAATTTCGCAAGGCGAATTGAAAGGACGGCCCTGGAAATTGTTCAGTAACATGTGCGATTTGTGAGGGCGTTTGGCGTCCACAAAGACGAGACCGGCCGGGTCTTTGAGCGTGCCTTGAGCACATAATACAATGCCAGACGATCCTGCCGACGGATATGGAGCACATCCGGCCGCCAGATAATTGCGATCCGGACACCGAACTTTGTCACGCGACAAGTCTTGAGCTGAGTAAAACTCCACCCGCGATATTTCTGTGCGCTTGCCAGCGGACGATACTGCTGAAGGCTCGTGGTCCCGCAGCAAACTCGAGGTGAGAAAGAGGGTGGATGATCGCGGTAGCCATGCACCACCAGAGTAGAAAAAGGCTGCTCTTGGATCGTTGATGAGCAGCTTTATGGAAGGATTTGCGCCGAGGAGAGTCGCGAACGAGTCGTCGTATGCAACAAATGGGGTTACACTAGGACGAGCTACCGAAGGGGGAGTAGGAGCGATATGACTGTGATCGAATCAGTCCTGGCTTGCCTGAAATATTCTAGGTACAGATGTACTGACGGATCAACATTTTGTAGGAGGCGTTCTAACACCTGCCATTTATCTTGTTTCTTCCAGGTAAGCGGTTCAGGTGGCGGGTAAGAGGTGCCATTGGTGATAGGAGTAGTATTGAACGACACGTTTCGACTGGCCAGAGGTCTCTTTGGTCTCAATGGTTTTGGCCCATTAGATGTTACCGGACGATCACTATTAAACGTGGATAATGGAGGCCTTTGAGGTATGCTCAAGGTAGACATTGTACAGCCGCGTGTCCAAAGTACTCAGAGTAAAAGAGTCCAAGTTCGTGAAATGCATTGGAGGATGGTGTTCTACGAGCACAACTCACGCTCCCATTTCCGAAAAAAATAGAATCCACTCCGGCCAGGATCGTTGAGCAGAGCCTATACCTTCCTGGTTGGCTGATTGAGGGAGCTTTCGGGCCCTGCCTCTGACGTACTGGCATCTGGGACTGGCGCATACAGAGCTAGCTGAAGAAGTGTAGCCGACCCTGACAGATGATAAAAGTGGAGCTGTAGGGTTCAAGGTCCCATGGTCTGACACCAATCGATCGTGATTTTGACAGCATAGTCCTCGTTACCGAACTTGTTGCCCCCACACGTTTCTGCCCTGCAGCCTGCCGATCGGGTACAGTTGGGTGTAACCAACCGGTGTCCATTTCGCAGGTGGCTTGCCGGGGGGGCCAAAAAAAGGGCATTTCGATTGTAGATGCTGACGACAAAAAGCAGCCAACATCCGGAGGTACTTTGCAGAAGGGGTAAATTCGTCCGACATCCAATGTTGATCGTTCGATATGTCTTCATCGGTGTTGAATCGGGTGTTATGATGGAAGCAACGGAAGCAGTCCACAAGCTGTGTGTTTAAAGCTGATCGGAACCGCTGTGTCCTGGTGGACCCGGAACAGACCGGTGCCTGTGAAAGAGAAATGGACTTAGCATTTGTGCCATGGCATGGCACGCTTGTGTCGATCGAAGATCTGAGGCGAAGGGCACTTGTGCGTACTTGTGCATTGTTGGTCGAATGTTCGAGTTCCGTGCTACCCATGAATGCTTCTGTTGGTGGGGCAAAACAAGATCAATATTGATTCGTTAGGTATTGGTTCCTTCATGTTGGCTCTCACCCCAACAGCTACTGTAGGCATGAAATTAGAATATTTATTAGACTACTTGCCTGAAAGCTCAACCAGGGCTGTCATGCACCAAGTCGTCATGGTAGTACTCCGTAGACTAGTTAGTAACTGATTGACATGCACAGAATCCAGGATGTTGTCTTCGCCGAGATTCAACCCAGAATATACAGTACCCGGTCAAAAGTCTCCGTTGATTTCGCGTTTTTCGCGTTTTTTCGCGTTTTGCACCCACAACCCACCCATTCTATCAACGAATTATGCCCCCACGAAGGCCACTACGCGAAATCAGTGGTAATAGGCCTCTTCATCATGAGTTAACGCCTATTGAGCGCGCAGAGATAGTAGGCGCAGCCAAATGTGGAGTGAGATTCGCTGAAATTGGTCGCATACTCAATTTCGCGCCCTCAACCGTCCAATATACCTACGAACTATCTGAACAACGCAACCTCCACAAATCGATCTCGCGTGCGGGCAGACCCTCTATAACGTCCGAAAGAGATAAAAGAGCCATT